TAAGTGAAGTTGGACTGAAAGCGCTCTCTGCAGTGACCCAGCCTCTCATCAGCAGAGAGGATCAAAAGGCTAGACTCAGCTTTGCTGAGGAGCATGTTGTGTGGACAGAGCAGAACTGGTCCAAAGTTCACTTTAGTGATGAGAGCAAGTTTAATTTATTTGGGTCTAATGGGAAACATTTTGTTCGCCGTCAAACTGGGGAAAGACTGAACCCTGAGTGCATAAAGAAGTCAGTGAAAGGTGGAGGAGGAACTGTCATGGTTTTGGGGGAGTAGCAGGAGTTGGGCTGTTACTGAACTATGGAAGAGACTGAAAGAAGAGTGGCCCAAGATCACACCAGAGCAGTGTGAGAGACTAGTGATGTTCTGCGGCCGCAGATGTACTGAAGTAATTCAAAGCAGAGGCCTCTACACTTCTTACTAATTTCTGACAGTTATAACCCTCCAAGATTTTAGTTGTGATCTTTTGTGCTACAGTAGTTACTGGTCTCTAATTTGATCACTCTGTTATCCACAAAATAAAGGATTTTGTTGAAATGCCTTGGTTATATTGTCAAACATGTTAGTAGAACAGTGGTATACCTACAGCTAATATTCCTTCAAATTTTGAGCGATGAAGAATAACAATATTTCAGAAAAAATCAAGTATTTATAAATTGATTCTAATTTTTATCTCCACTGTGTGTGTGTGTATTATATAAATATATATAAATTATAAATGTGATTATAGCAAATATAAATATAATTTATATTTTATACAATTATATATTTCCATATATGTTATATAAAATGTCTCAATAATATAATAAATATTCATCTAAATATGTATTTCAGTGTTGACTGCAGCAATGGATTCTACTAGAATGGAAATGTGAGCTTCGAGCACATTTCAAGTATACAGTGTGCTGCTTAGGGCTGCACGATGTATCGAAATATCGCAAATGTAAATATCGCAATATGCATATCGCAATGGCGTGCGATATCATTATTATTTTAATAATAGGCTACTTAAATCAAAACGTTGCAAAAGGTCAAAGTTTTAGTTCGACGCATATAGCAGAGAATTGCTTGACGTTAAAAAAAGTTATTAAGTGCAGTAAGTTGCAGAAAACAACTCTTTGCAATCTCGTCTTGCTGTCTGACTCACACCTGAAGCACGCGCTCAAGCCGCATCTCGCACAGCGCCTATTCAGTTCTGCCGCACACGTGCAAAGACGTAGTCAGTTGTTTTAAATTAATGTAAACAGCTGAGAAAGAAATCGGATGTGTATCATTATACTGAATCCGTGTAGTCGGTTTTAAAGGGACAGCAGCCTATAAATACCTGCTGCTGAATATGTCACTAATGTTAAAGTCCGCGTGAACCGGAAGTAGCTGACGACTTTATTTCAGTGTAGTGACGTATTTCCAGCTGAAATAATCTAAATTTAATTCATACAGTGAACACTATGCAGTGTTATTTTACACTTAATTATTAAATTTCTGTACCTGAATACTACTGTTTGTTTTATCTATGCTTGTAAATTGTGTATTTCTTTTTTTTTTATTTATTTATTTATTTTTTTTTACTGACTGTTCACTTGCCTTTAATCATGTTTGAACTTTCTCAGACTATAGTTTTTGCGGTGGTATATGAAGAAGTACTTAAAGTGTGTGGAAAGCAGTTACAATGACATAAAATTAGTGTCATTCATTTTTTTGTTTGTATGTTCACATTGATGTTAAATTACATTTTCTGATTTGTGTCATTACTTTTTATGTAATGCTAAAACACTGCTGGTCACTTTCAGAAGTTATAGTGATTCTTTATTTTCCAAGAAAGAATGTGAAACAAATCGGTTATATAATTTTCATTTTTAAATATTTAAAAATATAATTTAAATTGATTTTACACACTTTAAGCAATATCGTATCGCATATCGAATATCGCATTTTTTAACAAGGTATCGCATATCGCATTTTTCTTCAATATCGCACAGCCAATAAGTGCGGCGCAGAGGTCGGTGACACTGGGGAATTTGGAGCCGTGGTGCAGTGAAGGTTGTCACACAGACAGGCTTTGTGAGCTGGCCTGTGGAGGGAGGCTGGATGAGGGGTGCAGGGCGGGCCGGCCACAGAAGGCCGAGGATGGAATGCATGGAATGGAATACTGACTGTAGCCAGAACCATATGGAGCGGAGAAGTGAGGGGGATTGTAGAAGATTCAAAGAGCTGTTGATGGAAATGTAGAGCTTATGGTGCAAATTGATGGAAGCATCCATGAAGGTTTGGTTTGATTTGGTATAACATTCCCATTAGCAGTCACACTTCACATCACCACTCATTTGCATAAAGTTGAGCTTGATTCAGCTTTGTTGCATCATCAGCAGTCTCTATTGCTTGTGTCACGGGAAATTGCCATTTATCTTTAAAAAAATGAATTATGTTGGTTGCTTTGTTGCTCCGAATAACTCCAGTGTCCTCCTAGAGCACCATCTCCTGGTCAAACTAGTAATGCACTTTTGTATGGAGCCCTGCACATGACATGTGTAAGAAAAACTAGATATTGTGGTCACAAATGAAGAATTTGTTCTCAAGGCCTATTAATTCCTGGCCATGTTTTAATATTTGACTAATTTAAAATGAGGGAACAATTTAGTATAATGTGGCTACGATTTATCTAAAACAAGGGAACTTATTAATAAGTTGTGAGAACAAATTCTTAATGTGTCATACACTGTTTGATATGTGCAGCAGCGCTTCAAGCCGAACACACCTAATAGCTTTGCGTGCTTGTGACTCTTTAGTTCTGCACACGGCACACCTCCAGGAGCTCGACTGTTTTCAGAGAGAATCATAAAGCTGAATCTTTATTTTGTAAATCTGATAAAGCTAAAGACTATTCTTTATGAAGGATGCAATACTACTCTATAGGTACTCAAGATTAAAATGAGATTGTCCATTTTAATGTTTTTGAAAGAAGTTTCTTATGCTCACCAAAGCTACATTTATTTGATCAAAAAGACAGAAAACAGCACGTTAATACAGGTATGTAGCGCTAACCTGTGACTGAACCGCTTAGAGTCTGACTTAGTTTGTGCAGCTGTTCTCAGAACAGTCTGTAATTACGCTGCTATTTTTTATTTTCTATATCTGCACCATTGGGCAGTGGTGGACCAGCTTGACCACAGATGAGGTTGGGTGTGTACCCGTGTGTACAGTGTGTGTGTGGTTGTTGTGGTATAAACGTATCTGTAGTTAGTTCCACATTAAGGTTATGTGTATAGTGAATAGTCTGCGGGATAGTGGCTGTGTGTGTGGACGACAGAGATAATGAGTGTGTGTAGAGTGTGTGATGTATTTCTGACCATCAGTGTGTTTTGGGGAAACACCCTTTTGGTTTAGTCCGATCGGCATTGGCTCACTAAACCTTGAATATCAATAGACTTCTATCATGGAAAACTAACCAGAGTCTGTGAATCTTTTTAACTTCCATCTGCGAATCAGATATTTACGTCATTCATCAAGCTCTGACTAATGCACCATTAACAAATCCAACAAAATGTGCTTTAACTTAAGAACTAGAGCAGAACATGAATACATGGACTGGACTGTTCCAAAAAGTCATCATTAGGATAGTTTTGTCAATAGTGCTTTGTGCGTTGGGACTTATTAAACATCTTTAATGACGGAGGCTTGTAAAGAGGAGAGGCTGTTAGAAAGATCATAATATCGTTGGGTCACATATATACACACAGATGCATAAAAACACTTTTGTATGGTGTTCAGTGGAAAATATGAGTGCGGCGGTAACTATTAGCAGTGTGTTAGGTCATATTTGTCTGTTCTCCTTTGGGAACTGTATGAAGAGAAACAGGTTGCTAATGGAGTTCCTGCCAAAGCAGAAACAAGCGCATAACACCGAGCGAATTTAACCCCAAAATGTTCAGTGTTATGGGAAGCACCCGCTAATTTTTCATTAACACAATGCAATGAAAATGTAATTTTCTGTACTGTAATGTGAAAAATAATGATATATTAAATAATTTGTAAGGTATGTATATGCTATGGTAGTATTTGAGTATTTCTGCATATTAATAAAGTGCATTGATCATGTTGTGCTTCACTTAAAACACTTTGGATCATTATCAAATCATGCTGGAGAACATGATCTTCAAGATTTGTTCAGCTCAAGTGCTGCTGACAAAGTCATAAATTCCCCAAAAACGTTTCATTCACATTATGTTGATAATTTAATTTGTAATGAAGAAATTGTGTATTAAATTAAATAAAAATGCACAATGCAATTTTCAACAGTGATTGAACTCCAAGATCCATTCAGCAAACTCCAATCTGATGACCACAACTAAGCCACAGAATGTGTGGAGTGCTTATTTTTATGAGACTGGCAAGTGGATTAGGGAATTTATATTAGAAATTTACTAGAAAGTATGAGGATTGGAAATAGAGTGGTCAAAATTCCCTGAGATTTCACTGAATGCGATGACAGAACACAGTCATCAAAATGACCGGGAACTGAATCATTACCTCTGGTTTACCACTTTATTTAATTTTTTTTCATGCACAACTATAATTGTGACAGCGCATACAATACAGTCCAAAAATGTAACCAATACAACACAGCTTCAATTTTTTTTTTTTTTGGAAATGTTTTTGCTTAGGCAATAGTTTTTGAGTTTCCTTAACTTTATAGATACATTTTTCATCCAAAAAAAATTTAATAAAAGGCTTGAAGGAATGTAATGGTAATATAGCATGGCATTCCCACTATGGTAAAAATGATATGCTATGAGAAGAATACATGTTTTAAAAAGATAAAATCCCAGAACAGAAGGATATTTGTTTACAAAGCTTATTCTTCCCAGTCATTCATCACTGATGAATGTTATGCATAAGGAAAATGTTAAAGTAGACTTTCATAATAAAAATTCTCATGTTTATACATATTCATGCACAAGCACTTTTGGCCATTCATTTATGCAGTGCTTCTTGCTCTCTCAGATGCAGCAGTTGGAGATGCAGGTGTTGGAAGCCGAGCGTCGGGCATATGAGGCCAACCAGCAGGTAAATACCAATAACTCTCTTGTGGACATTTCATCCGATTTTAGGGATGTTAAGTATTTGCACTGACAATGATTCATTTAAAATTGTATTCTTTACTTGAATGGCCTACTAAATTATTTAATTATTTTGGTACAATTCATAATAATAAAATAATGTAACAAATGTATATGAAAATATTTCTTGACAAAAAGTTTTTGTCAAGACCATTATAATAGTTTGTCAAAGTTTTCATTATTTTGCATATTATCATCAACTAAAATGCCTCAAAAATTATTATATGTCATTTTATAGGGAGTAAAATGGTCAGGTGACACAAAATATTGACTACATTTAAAGGATATTTCCAACAAAACTATATTATGACGATTTATATTAATCATTCACAGGGGTTGGACACCTTGGAAATAGGTAATATTCCTTATTACACCTATTAAAGGTGCTGTATGGACATTTTTTGACTGTACTAAAGCATGTTTGCAGATATTTAGGTAACATGCTTGTTCACATACTTGTTTCTCTGAAAAAAAATGCTACAGCCAGTTATTCTGCTTTGAAATGTGCTTTCCGTGTCGGAATGTCTGTTGTTGTTTTGGTCCGTGTGATTCCGCCCACTAGTATTTCGACACCACGGGTAGCCAATTGGTGGAAAACACAGTGTATTGCAACGAGATCATAGATTCTACTTGAACTAAAAAGCCTCTGCATCTATCTAAAAATCTCTATGACCAGAGGAATATTAAAACACGGATAAATCAGCTCATCAACTTACAGTGTATAAGGCTTGCCACCTTCCATTGTAAATTGCGTGTCCTCAATCTGGCAACCCACGTGAGCGTCAAGTCTGAGGAGGAGGGGGCAGGAGAAACATGCAACTCTCTGTATTATTTTGAATTTGGACTGCAGTACCCATTTCAACCGCTATAGCTGTCAATATTACATACTGCACCTTTAAGCTTGTTTACCACCATTTGCTTTAATACAGCTTACAACCTTCTTAGAATAGATTCATGGCCTGCATCTTTTGAACTGTCTCCAGCTGAATGTCATCTATCAGAACATCTGCCATCTAGAGATGTTGAAGGAGGGAATCTGCTTCTCAATCTTCTCTCCAAAGCTGCCTATAGTAGTCTGATAATATTCAAGTCAGGTGATTTGTCTGGCCAGGGCAGATGTTGAAGTTTATCTTGGTGCTCCAACTGTCCAGGTTTAATGATCATGATACCATCTTTTTTTAGCATTGGTGTTTGTGGTTAAAGTTTTAGCAGTTGCAGCTCTTTCATGGATGTTGGTTTTGTGATACTCTCTGTGGTCAGTTTTTTTTGTGGAAACTGAAGGGTCTTCAAGGTGAATATTATTAAGACTTTGCTGCAGTAGTTCTATGTTGTTTGGACACAATCCTTCTCAGTGATCAATGTCCCTATTATTATTTACCCTTTTCAGATTTCACTCATTTCTCTTCTTCGCTGATGAGGTCTTGCCATTCTTTGTGTACAGAGTCATAATCGGGTGTTCACATTATTTTGTCCAATGCCTGTATATTGTATTTTTGATATAATAATGTAACCATTACTAACACTGTCTGTATGTTCATGTGTGTGTTTCAGGTGCAATGGATGGAAGAGCGTCTAAAGGCATCAGATATCCAGTCAAGTGATTCAGAGCTGCAGCTGTTCAGGCGCTGTCAAAATCTTCAAACGGTACTGCAGGAGAAAGACGAGCTTATTGCCACCCTAGAGCAACAGCTGGAGGAACAGGTCAGTCCCAACTCCAGTCTCTAATATCATCAGGTTTGCATCAGTAGACATAGAGGCCTATTTAAATCCATTAAATTACACCTCCAGAAACAGAACCGAATCCAAGATGCCAAGACGGTTGAAGAAAAAGCAGCTAAGATCAAAGAATGGGTCATGCGGAAGCTGAATGAAGTACGTTCATGCTTTTTGTACGCGTGCGTGTGTGTGTGTGTGTGTGTGTGTGTGTTCTTGAATAGGTGAGAGGAGATAAATAGGTGGGGCAGAAAGTGTGTAAATGTTTGTGTTCACCAATCACTCTTGTAGTTTGATATAGAGAATGCCTCTCTGAGAGAGATCAGCCAACAACAGGAGGCTGAGATACAAGACCTGAGAAGACGACTGCAAGGTATTCATGCGTCTGATCACACAGTAGGTTAAGCTCTGGCTACTGTGTCTTCAAAAAAGCATCCAACCAATTTATTCCTGCTATTTCTGTAGCATGTTGAGTGTTAAGCTTGTCAAAGAAATTACTGATGAAAATCTGTTTTTTGGTTTTATCAATGACAATGAAGACTAAATCGAGAAATTTTTCCATTGATGGAAAAGAGCTATTAAGTGTCATGTTTTTGTGTTTTGTTTTAGCCATGGAGCCGACTTTGGGTTCTGGTGGCCCAGTGCAGCCCAGTGTGGGTGAGGCCCAGCGGCTCAGCAGTCTGACTTTTGGCTGTTTCCAAATTAGAGGGAAGAGCCCTCAGGTACTGACGGGCCCAGAGCCGGCACAGAAGAGTGTCAGCACCCTGCCGGATCGTGAGCCCACACACACAGACTGCAGGAGACCCTCTGCTGGTCAGAAGACTGATATGATATCTGTAGATGTTTGACTGAAAGTATTAGTTCATAATCTGCTGAGTTTGACTGAGATGCAACAAGGCTGGGAAGAAATTTAGAAATTACATTTTTTATTCAGCAAAGACACATTAAATTGATCAAAAGTGACAATAAAACGTTTTACATTGTTGCAAAAAAAATCGATTTCAAATAAATGCATTTTATCATGGTTTCCACGAAAATATTAAACAGCACAACTTTTCAACACTAATAATAATAAGAAATGTTTCTTGCACGGAAAGTCAGCATATTAGAATGATTTCGGAAGGATCATGTGACCCAGCTTTGCATCACAGGAATAAATTACATTTAAAATATATTAAAATAGAACTTCAATTGAGACGACATCGTTTTGATCCACCAATTTCATTGCCCCATCAATACCAACATGCATCTAGAAAATGAAAGTTTCTCAAAGCCTTTTCTGGAAGTTCAAAAATGTTTTAAGGAAAAGGCCAACCATACTTGGAATTTGTGCTCTGCATTTAAACCATCCAAGTGCACACACACAGCAGTGAATAGTGAACAAACACGCACACACACACCCAGAGCAGTGGGCAGTCAATGCTACAACACCCGGGGAGCAGTTGGGGGTTCAGTGCCTTGCTCAAGGGTCTCACCTCAGTCATAGTATTGAGGGTGGAGAGAGTGCCGTACATTAACTCTCCCCACCTACAATCCCTGCCAGACCTGAGACTTGAACCCACAACCTTTGGGTTACAAGTCTGACTCTCTAACCATTAGGCCACGACTGCTCCCAATGATGCAGAGTCATTTGTTCAAGAATTGTTCTGCATTCATTGTCTAAAATTCATTGCATTTTGACTCACTAAATGAACCACTCAAATGAGTCATTTGCCTTAAGTCTGATTCATTGAAATGGATGACTTGACAGTGATTTGCAAAACTTTAACTCAGCTTTGACTTTAACTCAGAGAAGTTTTAATGCTTTTAATATATCAAGTGCTTACTATATGTATTCATATATTCACCAAGTCTGTGTGTTTGATCTGATCCAGATTCTGGAATGAAACAAGATTGCCCAGAAACAGAGTGTGTTGGCCGATGCTCTAAGGTGGGATCAGAGGACGAGGTGATCACACTGTTCTGTGGTGACTCCTCTATCCTCTCCAACTCTGCCTCTGAAGGAGAGAGGAGTCTGTTTGGAGGTTTGCGTTTCAGCCGACCCACCAGTGAGACGTACCACACAGCCTCAGACGACAGCAGCTCGCTGTTTGACGATGACATGCAGCGCGTGGAGTACTCCAGACTTTGCCTTCCTGGCACCAAGAGTGCTTCAAAGAGAGACAGCGAGAAGGTGGATGCTGAGGATGGATCCTCAGATGAGCTGAATAAGCGCTTCCAGTCGCAATGTCTTGATTCCTCATCGTCCTCCAGTGACACAAACACTCCCAGCCCCATATTAACTCCAGCTCTCACGCCAAAGCGGCCCACTCCATCACGAGACTCCCAAGACACCACAGCCTCCCCCAAACAGCCCAGACTGCGTAATCCAAATGCGTTTACTGTTAGTTTGGCATTGGCTAAAAAGCATCTGAGTCAGCCTCCGCTGTACAGTGAAGCCGCCCATGGGCGGACACGAAACGCCTTCAGCATGCTACGTCCTCTACGGCCTCAGGAAACAGACATGGACCAAGAGCAAAAGATGGAGACTGGTGAAAGAGAATGTGTGCCTGATGTGCCTCCAGCAGAAGTGCCACCTGAGGAACTCGAAACACTCGACGCCTCTGCAGCCGTGCCCGGGAGTAAACCTCCGACCCCTCCACTGCACAGACTGCCTTCTTGGGTGAGTCGTGCCACAAATAGTCCAGCTAATATGAATTTCTGTCGTTTTGGTTCATGTGGTAAACTTGTGATTTCATGTTATCTGCAGGAGAGCAGAATATATGCTGTGGCAAAATCTGGAATTCGTCTGTCTGAGACGTCATGTACAGATGTAGCTAATAAAGGTGCGTTTAGATTGTGTTTTTTACATTTGCACATATTCTCAATCCAGCTGCCCTTCATTGATCTCTCTTCATTTTTTATCGTCATTATTTTTCACATGCACTTCTTTTTGAACTGCATTTTTTTATTATTTTATAGTGCTCTTATATTAGCAAGATTTTTACATCAAAAACATCATAATTCAGAAGTAAAAGGCTATTTTACTTCTAACGGCACAGAACAACACAACAAATCTCTGACAGTAAACTGATGTCCCTCTATTTCTGACGTACTCTAAGCACTCGCGTTGCTTTCTGACATGAAAGAGAAATTGATTTGCGATTGGGTCCGATGTAGATGCAGTGTTAAGCCGAGAACACACTACACGACTGTCATACCAATTATGAAAGTAATTTGGTCTTGACGACTGATTGTGCCCAGTCGGACCAGGTCTGTTCCAGTTGCGCTCAGTCGCTATTTGCAGTCGGCAGAAAAAATTGCATAGTGTGTGGTGTATAAAGGTTATAATCAGAATTCAAGAACCAGTCGTTTTCACATTTTTTAAAACATATTTAATATTTGCGACTGACACCAGCGATTGTATATGCGGCTATGCAGTGGAGATGCGTTAACTGTCAAACATCATTCAGCATTCATTTTGTAATTTTGTCATATTTTTTCTTGATTACACATCTTGATCTTTATTTTATTTCACAAATTAACATTGCAAGTTAAATGGTTTTAGATTATTTGTTCTATTCTGAAGAAAGTAAAATAAAATAGCCTATATTATGTCAGTGATTTTTCTCATTTTAAAGATAACATCAAGAATTATTTTACTTCAATCTGCAGTCTAACAAAAGTTAAGGAAAAAATTAAGTTGATCAACTTTTAACTTTTTCTTAAAATTTGTTATGAAGAATATTTAAATTAACTTCATAACAAATAGGCTATTCTTCAAAACTAATATTCTTCATAACAAATATGTGACCCTGGACCACAAAACCAGTCATAAGGGTTCATTTTTCGAAATTTAGATTTATACATCATCTGAATGCTGAATAAATAAGCTTTCCATTGATGTATGGTTTGTTAGGATAGGACAATATTTGGCTGAGATACAACTATTTGAAAATCTGGAATCTGAGGGTGCAAAAAAATCTAAATATTGAGAAAATCGCCTTTAAAGTTGTCCAAATTAAGTTCTTAACAATGCATATTACTAATCAAAAATTAAGTTTTAATATATTTACAGTAGGAAATTTACAAAATATCTTCATGGAACATGATCTTTACTTAATATCCTAATGATTTTTGGCATAAAAGAAAAATCAATAATTTTGACCCATACAATGTATTTTTGGCCCAGCGACTTAATACTGGTTTTGTGGTCGAGGGTCACATATAGGAACATAACAAATACCTATTCTTAAAAGCTATTTTTTCATAAATTTCATTTAAAAAAAAATCACAAATACGACACAAAATAAAATCATTTTATATACTCAGTTTAATTATATATAATAGTTTTGTGTCAAATGGATAAGGAAATTACAATGCCTTGAATTTCTCTGCAGTTCTTAACGTTTGCTGTAGACTAATATAATGAAAAGTTAAATACACAAATAACATTTTTATATGACTTTTGTTTCTGAATAAATGGAGCAGTAATGTTTTATTTCATTCTGACCGGAAACTCGGGAACTGTAACAAAAAAATATATACCCTTTTTAATCAGAACCAGTTCATTTTTAATCCCTTTCAGACATACAAAAGATAATGAATATATTATTGCTTGACTAAACGTTTAAAAATAGCACTAGAAATGTTATAATTAAGGAAATTAAACATTGGTGTCTGAAAAGACATAACGAAATGTGTCTGCTCAAGCTATAATTCAAAAAAGAAAGGGAAACGTAGGACTTAATAAAAAAAAATATTCAAGACATTGCTGTTGCATTTATTAGCAACACCAGGCCCGGACTGGCCATCGGGAGCGCTGGGAGAATTCCCGGTGGACTGGCGGCTGATTTGGCCCGCTGCCCGTTTTTATTTTTTTTGTTATTATTAATATTTTATATGTATGCCTTCTCAATGTACCAAAGTGATCATTTCCGATTTTTTCATTCGATAATAAATCATAAATCGGTCTTGACTGTCAGCGCTGCGCTATACGAATCAGCTCACGTGTGTTCTGCGCTTCCGTCAAATGATTCCAAACAGAACCGATGCGCAGGACTCGATGAAGGAGAGAAAGCGGCCAGAAGAAGCAGTGAAATGTAGCAACATCACTTCATTTGTAAATACGCTAGATAGTTTTGTCTTTATTAACGTAGTTGAGTATTAAACTGCTAGTATCTGTTAGGCTATCAGTAGCACCCCATTATTATCATCATTCAGAACACTGTGCTAAAGGACATCAATATCGGTTGTAAAGTTACATTAAAAAATTTAGCAGAGACAGATATTCACATGGATTTATTGTACAGGGAGGGAGGGAGCTAGAGCAGACAGCAACACACAAATAATATGAGTAACATGCTCAGCCTAATAATTCAACAGTGTATTAGACTTTTTCAACAAATATATTGTACTAATTTTGACATTTAGGCACTTTAGAAATTGTGTGTTAATACACTACCAGTCAAAAGGTTTTCATCAGTAAGGTACTAGCCCCCCATTATTATCATCATTCAGAATACTGTGCTAAAGGACATCAATATCGATTGTAAAGTTACATAAAAAAATGAGCAGAGACAGATATTCACATGGATTTATTGTACAGGGAGGGAGGGAGCTAGAGCAGACAGCAACACACAAATAATATGAGTAACATGCTCAGCCTAATAATTCAACAGTGTATTAGACTTTTTCAACAAATATATTGTACTAATTTTGACATTTAGGCACTTTAGAAATTGTGTGTTAATACACTACCAGTCAAAAGGTTTTGATCAGTAAGAATTTTTTTTTTATTTTTAAATAAGTCTCTTCTGCTCACCAAGCCTGCATTTATTTTCTTCTGCTCACCAAGCCTTCATTTATTTGATCCAAAATACAGCAAAAACAGTAATATTGTGAAATATTTTTATTAAAATGTAATTTATTTCTGTGATTCAAAGCTGAATTTTCAGCATCATTATTTGACATCATCAAAAACATTTTTTTATTATTATTATTATGTTGAAAACAGATTAGATTTTTTTTTCAGGTTTCTTTGATGAATAGAAAGTTCAGAAGAACAGCATTTATCTGAAATA